CCACAAAAAAACTTTTTTTTTCATAATTTTCTTTCTATATTTGAAGTATTTTTTGAATATAGCCAACTCTGTACACCAAAAATGGCTGACTCAATTTTTAACTCCATTTTTATTATAATTTTAACCCGATCAGTTGCATCATTTTTTCTAATGAAAAAAAAATCAGAGTTTTGGATAAATCAGTTGCATCATTTTTTTCTTATACAAAAGAAATTAAAGTTTTGGATGAATATGGATGCGATAATATTACCTTTGCAGAAATTGAAGTTAAGGATATTTTTGGCGTTTTAGAAGTTTACATTGAAATGGACCCAAATAAGTTAAAAAAATTCGATGTGAAATATTTTAATGATATTGATTATTCTAATATGTCAGAGATAGGTAAATTTCTATTGTGGATAAAAAATTTTTATAGTCAAACTAAATATATGTATGTTTGTCAAGATAACAAGTATTATTACGTAATATCTATGGATAAATTTGCTTACTTTTGTGAAATTGACGAACCAAGTGTAAAGTCAATTTTAAAAAGAATAGAACATTTAGGAATGTCTAATTATGATCCTGGAAATTCAGTTAATCATTTAATTTACAAAAGACTTCTTGATGAAAAAATCAACAAAGATCCTAAAAACTCTAAACTCATTAAAATTGATAAAAATAATATTATACTAATCAATATACTTAAAACAGGATTTCTAAATTACCTTATTTATTCTCTTAATTGATGATATTTGTAAATTTTGTATTTATAAAATAAAATTTCTTCTAATAAATTTACATAAAAACTATTTAAATTTTATATGCTATAAAAGAATTCAAAAAATATCATCGTATATGAGTTAACCTTAGGATACCTCAAGCCCGTACAAAAACGACTTTTCTTTTTTAAAAATCAAAAATCTGAATAAATCATTATATCTTAGTGTACTTTCAATTATGATTTGAAACAGGTAACAAAATCGTCAACCACCCGAAAATCGAAGTTATTTTGGTTGGCACGGGTCAACAAAATTACCCAACTTAACTGGCTCAACCTCTATTACGGCTGTTTTCAACAGATGCTTTCATAAATTCTAAAACAGTTAAAAATTTTTGACGACCGAATCGATGAGTTTTTGATGTCAGCCGACTTTGGCAACTTATTAATCATATGGGCGAAAATTTTTGATGGGGATGTGATTATTACAATGTAGTGATATACGTAATGATTTATAAATGATTTATAAATGATTTATAAATATTATGCGGTCTTATGATCAGTTTCATTAGCAATTTACAACTAAGAAAAGCAATTGACCAGTTAAATACAATTAAGTTTTATAATTATTATGCGGTTTCATAAATGGTTTCATAAGCGATTGATAAGCGGATTTTAACTAATAATACAAGAATTGACCACTCAAATACAATCATACTATTCAATTTTACTATTACCGGAAATAATGCAGTATCAATTCTATTTTATTTGTATTATGCAATATCACATAAATGATTGGATTACATTTTATGATATTTGGTAAAAAATTGACCGAATAATTGTCTTTTTGACGATTCGATAAATTCGAGATTTCGGTAAAATTGGCTACGTAATAATGTTTCAGATTAGCATACCGAAAATGTGTACAAGGTTGGCGGCGCAGCTCTCCTGAACTACGAATCAGCTTTCAAGATTAGGTGTAAAGGAAGATTTAAAACAAATGTTCGTTCTGCTAACAATCGCTCATAGCTCAAAAATCAGCATAAGAAACCATCTTTTGTGCTCCAACAAAAAGTTTTCGTTGTACAATTTTACTACATAAAACGCTCCTCTCAAGATCCCCTAATCCAAACCTTAACGAATTTTAAGAATTTTGTCTGCGCTGCCAACCTTGTATACATTTTCGGTATGCTTCAAATTATATATATTTATTCCATTACTTCAGACAAGTTGGCATATCAGATTCAACCGAATTTCTAAAAGCCTTTTTAATAACCAGTTACAGCTGTTATCAGACATACCTAGAGTATCCCCACCAAAATCATGTACATAAATTTATTTTCTGATATTAAAATCAAGAATTATTATAAATCGCACCAGTGGTGTTGAACGCCATATAATTTTTTTTACAATTTTGTAGTCAATACAGAAATATTATTTTATGTTGGTATAAATAAAAAACATTACTTTGTAATGATTTACAACTTAGATTACAAATACAAAATATTATTATTTAATAGATTCAGTGGGGCTGTGTTATGCACAGTGCTTATCAAAGTTGGGGCTCAGTCCTGTAACCCAGTATTCACCAATTTAACCAAATTGGGAGGACCCATAGGGTATTTGTATAATGTACAAGTTATACGAAGGTATGCAAGCTGGCTAAGAGTGGTGCAAACCCAAGATAAGTCCTTATGGCTGGATAATTTCTGTAAACTTCAGCAAGATTGATGCCCATTTGGCAAGACCTGAGTGGAGAGGTAGCGCAGTCTTAAGTGCCTGGGTGAACTTCATAAGGGCAGGTGGTTCAAGAAGCGGTGTAACTTGCCCATAAAGGTATAGAATTTATCTGATGAAGAATTCTCCTGTGGTAATCAATAGCTGCCAGGTTCACCGGTGGAATGGGTCTGCTATTTCAGCTGTTGTACAGCCTGAAAAAAACTAGGTCATCTGTTAGGTAACAGGCAACAATGGAGGGCACTAGTTGAGTATTCTCTTCTCTGACTATAACTAGTTATACTTTAAATTAGTTTCTTAATAGAAAATAAGAGTGATTTGTCATGTAAAAATGGTTATATGGGATAAATAAATAGTTAGAATAGTATCACCTTGATACAAGAATTGTAACTAATATCATGTATACGGCAAATTCAAAAATAAAAAAAAAAAAAAAAATAGATTCAGTAAGCAGTATAGCAAATCTATATCCTATTATTATAGAAAATTTCAATATTTCTAATAATAATTTATGTTCATCTTTAATTAAATATGAATTACTTCACTTTCTCTAATACAATAGTATGTATAATTTTTAACTCATATCAAGTTCTTTACAACTACCTAGCAATATAGCAAATTTCAAAGTAGCATTAACTATATCTGAGCTAATCACTCTATTCTCTAATATTTTATTATATTTTTATTGATAATTCAGATACTAGTATTGATAGTAATTACAAGATTCTAATTTTCTTTTTTTTTCCTTCAGCAATGCTGTTTACTTTATTTTAGAAACAGACTTTCATCCTTATATATAAAGAAATCTAAATCTATAATGTTTTAACCAAAAGATAAACTCACTCACGGCTTTACCTTGCAGATGCTATAACATCCACTTGCAGTTAGAACAAATTATTAAACTGCTGTATTATGCTAAGATGCAATCTGCTTAGTGAATGATTGGCCTCTTCCAGAGATTTGGAACTTCTCTGGACTTATTTATCCTGAATTAATCAACTGGCTGTTGTGTCACCCCATCAAGATTCCTGCTCTACAATAGAATATTACCTATTTGATAAAACTTTCTTATTGAAAAGGAAAAAAGAAAAAAAAGTAATAATAGAAAACGAAAAAAAAGGTAAAAAATAAAACTAATACATCAAAAAAAATAGATCCTAATATTAAAGAATATAAAAAAACTAAACTAAAACCTAAAAGAAACTATTACTAGAAAGAAGAAACTCTGCTAACTAGGCGAAAACTTCTAACTATACAAATTAATGAACTACTATTAAGTGCGAGAGTCTTGACTGCACTATAACTTGTGCCAAAGTTTAAAAATTACATACTAGGCACTAGACAAATTAGTTCCTACTTCTACATTTATCTACCTAGTATATAATGTAAAAATCTAATAGAAAAAACTTTATTGACTGGCTTAGTTGTAAAAAGGTCAGAGCTGAGTTTTGGAGCATTGTTTATATAGATATCCATTGCATTCGAGGTACATGTATAAATGTGTTTGTTGTTCTGTTCTGATTTGAGAAATAAACAATGCTGATTGTTTGATATACATGATATTAATCAATTGGAGGAGGTAAGCTAAAATTTCCTTTTTATAAAAATTTTCTTGAAAAAAAGTGGTGGGCTAATGAAAGTATGTAAGTTCTTTTTGTAAGTTTTATAGTTGTATAGTCTAGCTTCTCTATTTTTACCAACTTAGAAGTGCATATTGAATACTTCTACAAACTTGTTTCCAAAATAACCTTTCTGGTTTGGATGCCGAATATCTTAAGGAGTCTGTCAAAGAAGAAAAAACTTGATACTAAAGAAAACTATCTGTTCTTTTGATGCCTGCTTCTCAATATATCATGTCTAGACGTTTAGACTTTGTTTACAACAAGCTGCTCCTACTTATAGAACCAACTTTAATATCTACTTTGTTGCTTTTCTATATGTTTTGCTGTAGTTTAGTTTTTGTTGTTGACCAAAAAATTGTTAAAAAGAGTTGATTGTTGCAAGATTCTAATTTTCTTTTGGTTCTTTTTTTATACATTTACTAATAAATGATAAATAGTAACTAAAATCTGTAAAAGAATATTTTATTACAAAATATAAATCAGAAATAATAATATATTTAGTTAGACTAATTTTTTAAAACTTAAAACAAACAATGCACCTTTTAATACAACATATTAGAATTTTCAAAATATATTTGGTAAAAATTTAAATAAGTATTATTTTTGCTATTCTTTAAAACATCTCTAACAAAAATTAATTATATAGAGTTTTCAAGAAATATATTTTTTTTTGTAGACAAGGCTAGCCTCTTTGACTTATTACTTTTATTAGATATATAGAATTATATAGTGTCTTTTTAAGAGAGCCTCAGATATATATATTCTGATAAAGATATATACATATATTTCATTAAAGTATTATATTTGCAATTTAATTTTAAAAAACTTGATAATATTATTTATGTCACAACTAGGTGTAGCAAATTTCTAACTTTCATTTTTTCAATATTGATCACATTGTTATCATGCTAATTAGTGGCTTTCTAATAGTATTTGATAATTTAAACTTCATCATTATAGATGGTTTCAGCAGCATTAACCTTATTAGTGTAATTCTGATCTGATTTGTTACTATTCAGAGATTTGTATTCAATATTTTTATGCTTCACTTCAAGCATTTCTTTCTTTAGCTTTTATTAACAGTCACCTTTCTTTTCACATCCTCTTTTTTTGCATTATCATCCATTTTATATATATCAACCTTCTTATTTTTATTACTTAGATTATTACTGAAAGGCTTAGTCTCTATCTGTAATATTAACAAGCCTTTTATATAACATCTAATTAATATTAACATGTGAATGATTATGATTCTGATTGAATAGTGACTACTAGCTAAAATACAGAATGCTAAAGTATTGTTATTAAAGTGTGAATAAGTAACAACAATAGTATAAAATCCAAAACCACTTCTTTACCTCCCAGTTACGCCCATCATGTATTGCGCAATCTTTATCTTCAAAACCGTAGTTTCTTACTACTATATTATTACATAAACCTTATCCGCTAACGATTGTCTATTCATCACTGGCCTTATCTACATATATTTACCCTCCTTTTTTGGCAAATCAAATTGCATACTGAACTTTGTCTCTGATATATTTATTGTTGCGGCTGAAGCTGGAAACGGCTGAAGCTGGAAATTTTAAATATTTTATTATGAAATTTTCAAAA